GTTGAAAGACTGGTTTGTGTTTGTGACCTGGAGTTAGATGTGAAGCAGGGAGGATAGAGGCTCTTGATCTGGAGGTCAGAGACGATTAGGAACGTTTAATTTCATCTGATGCTGCTGTTCACTTAACAATAAATTGGTACCCGGGATATAGGCAACAATTGTGGGGTTGCATCCTGGGGAAGGTCAGTATTGTTAGTTTAGACTCTAGGGGGGACCTTGATGAGCTTCAGTATACGCGTCCAGCCCCCGATAACGTAGAATTAAGTTATAACAAAGCGTGTAGACGCGCCAGTTGTATAAGTTACCCCAAGTTTCCAAGCAATATAATTTCATTCCACATTTTCTTTAAAAGTAGTAATAGAGAAAACGACCTGCAGACTGTAACTAACTATATTCTGTATATTACAGTAAGGGTACCACCTCTGGTGCAAGTGTAGGGACCCATAGCCTCGGAGAAGACAATAAAGAGTACTCAGAGAAGACCGTGTGGAGCCTCACTGAACACTTTAACATTTTCTTCTCCTACCAACCCTATTATTTTTGTACTGTATATATATATAGCCTTGCTTAACAAGGTTTAGCAAGCCGAGTTTTCCTGAAATTATATTTTTCAATTTGTTTTTCTTATGGAATGATAAACTTTTCATTCATTAGATTACATAGATTACATTATCTATGATTTTTTTTATTTCAGTTAAATCTGATGAGACATAACCTAACCTAACTCTAACTAAGTCAGTAATTCATGTTCTTAATATAATATAATAATATTAATTCAAATAACACAATTTTAAAAGACATTTGAAAATAGAGAAAATCACTCTGCCAATTAGGCAAATCGGGCCTTCTATACTAGGCCAAGCATTCCGTTCTGGCTATTAGGTACAGCATCCTCGTCACGGCCCTTGTGGATTTGTTTAGCATATTCATATATATACATTTATATACATTATGCGCGTATAGGAGGAGGTCGGGCATTGTAGCGTATATGACTCGATGCTGTTTCAAAGTTCCCACCTGACCTGACGTCACAGATCTGGTAGCCAAGCCATGATTTTATCACTGTTATATCCCGCCATATTTATTTATATCTAAACTGGCAAATTTAAATGATTGAAAAGTTTACATTTTTGGTAGAATAAAGATGCAACAGAATATCATAATTGTGGCTGGTGTGCTGTGCACTAGAGATGATATTATTATGTGATGGAGCACCTCGCTGATCCCTTGCTGTGATTGGCTGACGTGGTGAATATCAACAAAGAGTTTCCACCAATGAGATGCAAGCTCGTGGGGGTAAGGGGGGGGATGGTTCCTTCAGTACAATGAAGGTCCAAATTGATGTTTGATACAACATACAAAGATGTTTGGTTAAACATCTCTAGTATACCAAAGCATTTACACCATATTTATAACAGATCCACATAGGTATATCCATTTATAACATATCCATATAAACATGCATTTATAACATATTCATATAAACATCCATTTATAGCATATGTATTTATAGCCTATCGATATAAGCATATCCATTTATAGCATATAAGAATAATACATAGAAAACGCGACACTTTCCTCCAAGACCTGCAGGTAACCGCAGCGGTCATCGGCCCTCCGAGGCGTCAATATTAACTTTTACACTCCTGTCTCGCCAAATTATTAACGCTGACGCTGCATTGCGAGGCGTCTGCGAACGTCACCCCTCACGCAGTCGTCGAGAGGAGAACTCCTTCACGCAAGCTGCAGGTATCGTAGAGAAAAAAAGAAGCATTCCTGTCCTCTGTGGGTGAAGGAACATGGCTCACGGTGTTGGAGGCTGCGCCACCTTTAGGAAGTTCAGCGCCACCTTCAGGAAGTTCACCGACCTGTAGAAGGTTCAACAGTATCAAGACCTCTCCGTCAGTGTTCTCCGGGATTACATGGCGCTTACAGGAACCTTGAAGACTGCTCCTGTAGCCTCAGGGTGAGTATTTAGCCCTCTGGAGGCGCCACCTTCAGGTAGTTCAGCGCCACCTTCAGGAAGTTCAGCGCCACCTTCAGGTAGTTCAGCGCCACCTTCAGGTAGTTCAGCGCCACCTTCAGGAAGTTCAGCGCCACCTTCTGGAAGTTCAGCGCCACCTTCAGGTAGTTCAGCGCCACCTTCAGGAAGTTCAGCGCCACCTTCAGGTAGTTCAGCGCCACCTTCAGGAAGTTCAGCGCCACCTTCAGGAAGTTCACCGTCCTGTAGAGGGTTCAACAGTATCAAGACCTCTCCGTCAGTGTTCTCCGGGATTGCAAGGCGCTTACAGGAACCTTGAAGACTGCTCCTGTAGCCTCAGGGTGAGTATTTAGCCCTCTGGAGGCGACGCTATTTCCTGGGCGTTCCTCGCTCTGTAATAATCGTTTGGTAATTAATTTGTTATACATGTACGGTGCACTGATATTTACATAAGTTAATGATTACAGCAATACTGTTATTAAACACCAATGTACAGTCATGTAAGTAACGTATATATGAATAGAGTTGATATTGAGGCTACGGAGATTCAATTCTTCAAGAAAGGAAAGAATATTTTTCATGATGATTCGCATCCACGATGATAACACATTTATAAATGCCTTGATTTATAGCAGTATTATTATAGTTTTTATACCAGACATTTATTTTTAGCATATTGAAACTAATGCAATATATATAATTAGGCTTTTTTGTATTTTTTGCTGTAACAAAAAGCTTCAATTGAGTACTTTATTATAAATTTATATAAACTAATTTTTTTATGGCAAAGGATATATACACCGAAGTATACCCCCGTTTCTAGGTGTATATACAGTGAGTTTATCTTAGTCCTGGATTAAGGTAAAGTCCCACACCACGTAACCTGTGTCAGTGGAGTCTAATAATTTTCTTCTGTATCAGGTAATGAGTTTGTTGAGACACGGAGGCAGTTAATGGATGGTCTCTCGCATCAACTATACGTCATCATCGACAACGCTATCATACTTGTGAAGCAGTTTGTGTAGCTGTGTGTGTCTGTCTACTGGGAGCAAGATCTATTAGTGGGTTATACCTCCCTTCAACACCACCACAACAACAAAAGGTAAGCAAGTTTGTTGCTTTGGTGTTACTTGGTAAATTCTACCTTGAATTAGCAACCGTGCTTCCGAAAACCAATATTTTAATTTTTTTGTTTTCCCCTTTCTATATTTAATCTTATACATTTTCAAATCATTGTTTTGTGCTCTAACTTGATATTTTTCATACATTATTAATATCCCCCCTTGTTGAGCCTTTTCCTACATTTGTATGTTTAATTTATGTCCTTCATTTATTGCACATTTTTATACACTTATTTTATAATTTCTTTATTAGGGAGATTCCTAATACTCGGGATTAATTTAGTCGGCATTCTTAGCATGTATCAATACAACATACATTAATTTTATTTAGTGCTCAAGACTGTGCTACATAATCTAGGGTCTGACAGGGGGGCTAAACAAAATTTGGTTTCCCATTGTCTGGAGACATGTAAGGCCTATCGAAGCCCCCTACCCCCCAGGCCTACTACTACTGTATATTAGTACAGTATATTTAAACTGTTGTCATCACTCGTATATGTTTATTTATCTTCTGGTAAATTATCAAGTTCTTCATTAGTAGGGAAGAAATATTAGAGTACTTTATTATTTTCAATCTAACTTTGGATTGAAAGTACTCTATTAAAGTACTTTATTATTTTCAATCTCTCTCTTTCTCTCTCTGTATATATATATATATATATATATATATATATATATATATATATATATATATATATATATATATATATATATATATATATATATATATATATATATATATATATATATATAAGACTGGGAGCTCTAACTTGGTTTCCTCATTTACTATGTAATATTTCTTAATAATTCGATATAGGCCTTCTTCAGATAACCTTCCAGTTCTGTGTATGCTAATATATAGAGCATTTGCGTATCAAATTATTGGGTTGAATTTCATAATCACCTATTTAGGGACACTTTTTTATTCGATCCTGAAAAATATATAACCAATATTACATGATTTAAATAAATGAAATACGTGATATACATTAAACCAATACATGACATACATTAAACAAATACATGATATAAATTAAAAAAATAGATGATATACATTATATATATCAATAAAACAAATATAGGATATCAGTAAAACAAATACAGGATATTGATTAAACAAATATATGATATAAATTAAACAAATATTGTATATTGTACATTATATAAATTAAACATACACTGTACTGTACATTATATCAATAAGACAAATACATGATGTAAATTACACAAATACATAAAATAAAACAGATATTGCACGTGGAACTTTATACAGCTTCAGGAACTTGAATATTGCTTGTGGAACTTAATGATATCTTGTGGAACCTGAACATTCTCTTTCACACATTTGATGGTGCTACATAGCCTTCCCGGCTTGGTGCCTTCTTTGATAATTACTTACTTGAACATTCCCTGTGAAAATTAAATATGGCTTGTGGAACTTAATTAATAACTTGTGGAACTCAATTATATCTTGTGGAACTTGAACCTTCTTTGTGGAAATTAAATATTGCTTGTGGAACTTGAATATTTCTCATTAAATTTAATACAGGGAAATTAGAAAGCGTAAATACGTATATACAATTGAGACAAATTCTGGAGTGAAAATAGAGATCAGATCTAAGCTTAAACACCAAACAGTTACCGAGAACAATAATAACATTAGTTTACATATCAAAGGGCTAAGGGGGATGGTGTTGACTAAGTAGTAAGGGAATGGTGCTATCCTAAGGGCTAATGGTGATGGTACTAAAGGAATGGTGTTGAATAAGAACTAATGGGATGGTGTTAGGTAAGGATTATGGTGTTGGCTAAGAGGATGGGATAGTGTTGACTATGTACTGGTAGTGTTGGCTGAGGTCACCAGCAAAACATCTGAGGAGAAACAAACGACAGTAAAAAATTTTTTTATATTTTATTTACAGTATAGCTTTGAGACACCGGACACCGTGGGGGGTGGGTGATAGGCAGGAAGGTACACAGCAGACGGGCGCGATGCGTGCCCCACTACGAGAGCTTCCATTCCTGTGTGTGTGTGCGTGTGTGCGTGTGCGTGTGCGTGCATACGTGCACGCGTCTCTTGTTAACCCTCAGGATACAGATTCTTGGGGGCGTCATTCACTATTTACCACTCGACCCCACACACAACTCATCAGCTGTAACAAATGCAAATTAGAGTTAAAGTTTTCTTAATTTTATGAATTATTTTATGAAAGGATAATAATAATAATATCATTGTTTGTTAGACAAACATATTAGTTGATCAATTAGGATGGCTATACGGCATTATAACAGAACGCGTGAACTAAGCCAGCAAGAGAAGAATGCACCGATTGCAGCATATTAATACTTTAACAGTAAGAATTTGGCATAATCCCACATCAGAGGCTTCCTTATCAGCTGGATAAGCTGGCTGGAACACCTACATTGATTGGAGGTGTTGACTGAAGGGCTAAGGGGGATGGTGTTGATTTAAGGGCTAAGGGGATGGGGTTAACTTAAGGGCTAAGGAGTAATGGGATGGTTTTTGACTAGCCATCAACCAAGCAGGAAACATTATCACCATTCTGTGAAAGTCCTTGAATAGAGTAAATGTAATTTTGGGAGTTTCACAGGGATTAAGACTAGGCTTCTTCGTTGTCTAGTGTGGAAATGAAACACATCTGTAAGATTGGGTGTGGAGGGGGTGGGGGTGGGGATTGAGACACACACCTGTAGGCTTGGAAACACATCTGTCGTGTTGGTAGCTGTAGAGGGTGTCGCCGAAACACTGCCACATCTCTGAAACCCAGCGGCCCTCTCGGGTCCTCGCGCACTGATAGAAGTTTCCGCAGAGCATCCTCGTCTCCTGCGAGAAGTGAAGAGCAGGATATGATTGTAGCCTCGCTACAAGCATGTAGATAGATATATATATAGATATAAACAATCCATTGTCTGTCCACGAGTTCCCACAAACAAGTGAAAACTTACCTTGTACTGCCCATAACTGTTACACAGCTCAAAGTTGGTACAGTGCTCGCTGACCATCCAGGGTTCGAAGGGGCGGAGGTTGCTCTGGGAGCAAGTGAGGGTCCTGGGGACGGCCACAGACTGCTGTGCCACCGTCACCACCTCGTTGTCTCGCAGCAGGAGGCTTTGTGGGCACAGCTCAGACGCTAAACACAGCCGGGGGAGAAATGCAAGATGGATTATACACATACACAATGGGTAGCAAATGCAGGTCATGGCTGTGAGAATCACGTAATTGCCAACAGAGTTGAAACACTTTACTCTAACCTACACTAGGCTATAGAGACTCTAACCTACCCTAGGCTAGAGAGACTCTAACCTACCCGAGGCTATAGAGACTCTAACCTACCCGAGGCTATAGAGACTAACCTACCCTAGGCTAGAGAGACTCTAACCTACACTAGGCTATAGAGACTAACCTACCCTAGGCAATAGAGACTCTAACCTACTCTAGGCTATAGAAACTCTAACCTACCCTAGGCTATAGAGACTCTAACCTACCCTAGGCTATAGAGACTTAACCTACACTAGGCTATAGAGACTCTAACCTACCCTAGGCTATAGAGACTCTAACCTACCCTAGGCTATAGAGACTCTAACCTACCCTAGGCTATAGAGATCTATAGCGATATCTATAAAGAGCTAAGTAGAAGTAATAGCCGTTGTAAACAAAAAAAAAAGTCGGGTTTAAAAAAATGGAATAGACAAAAATAATTAAGAACATTGTGGACAAGTAGGCCTATTGCAGTTTTTGAAGCCTACTGACTCACCCCAGGATGCAACCCTTGCCTAACTCCCAGCTACTTATTTACTGCTAGGTGAACAGATGCATTAGGCGAAAGGTAACGTACTCAACCATTTCAGTCCCTTCGGGGGAATTGACCCCAGGTTGTGGGTCGAGAACGCAGCCAACTGCACCACTAAGCCCTAAATAGCCCGCAAAAGTACTTATCACAGCCCAATCACCAATTAAGTAAGACTTTTGCATACACACTGAAAACACAATAACGTGATGCATCAAATGAACAAATCCACAAGGGCCGTGACGAGGATTCGAACCTGAGTTTGAGAGCAGACGCTGCCTTAATCGTCGTAGACCATGTCGTAGCTCAGTCGATTAAGCAGCGTCTGGGCTGCTCTCGGACGCAAGTTCGAATCCTCGTCACGGCCCCTTGTGGATTTATTCTCTTGCATACACACCTGTAGGAGGAGAAGTGCAGGTTTTGCTGCCCTTGTTCAAGAGTTGTCCCGGTGGACACATTGCAGAGGCGGCGATGGGGAGGGCGCCAACGTAGCATGTCATACACAGGTCCACGATCTCCCTTACGGGAGCACACACCTCGTACCTTTGGCACTCAGAGTCGTTGAACGTACACGGAATTGAGAACGCTTGTGGGGGTGAATCGGTAGGGGCTGAGGTGGTTGGGGCTGGAGTAAAGGCTGTGGGTGGGGCTGGTCTAAGGGGCCTGGTTGGGGCTGGTCTAAGGGGTCTGGGTGGGGCTGGTGTAAGGGGTCTGGGTGGGGCTGGTCTAATGGGTCTGGTTGGGGCTGGTCTAATGGGTCTGGGTGGGGCTGGTGTAAGGGGTCTGGGTGGGGCTGGTCTAATGGGTCTGGGTGGGGTTGGTCTAATGGGCCTGGTTGGGGCTGGAGTTATATCTGAACCTTGTGGTTCGGTTATATCTGAACCGGTTGGTGGGGGTATATCTGAACCGGTTGGTGGGGGTATATCTGAACCGGTTGGTGGGGGTATATCTGATTCTGGTGTTGGGATTATATCTGAACCGGTTGGTGGGGGTATATCTGATTCTGGTGTTGGGATTATATCTGAACCGGTTGGTGGGGGTATATCCGGGCCTGGTGATGGGATTATATCTGAACCGGTTGGTGGGGGTATATCCGGGCCTGGTGATGGGATTATATCTGAACCGGTTGGTGGGGGTATATCCTGGCCTGGTGATGGGAGTATAACTGAACCGGTTGGTGGTGGTATATCCGGGCCTGGTGATGGGGGTATAACTGAACCGATTGGTAGTGGCATATCTGGGCCGGTTGGTAGTGGCATATCTGGGCCGGTTGGTACTGGCATATCTGGGCCGGTTGGTAGTGGCATATCTGGGCGTGCTGGTAGTAGTATAACCGGGCCTGATTCTGGGATTATGTGTGACCCATGATGACTCGTGAGTGACCCACACGGGGGCCTCACCAGGTAAGGAAACAAGCACTGGTCGAGGGTGTTTGAGAAGACGGTGCCGGCCTCACACTTGAAGTAGTAGAGGTGGAAGTGCTCCGGGGTGGTCTTGGGCACACACCTGCAACAAGACCAGGTGTGTAAACACACACACACACACACACCTCAGTCAAGCACTGACCTTCCACACACACACACACACACACACACCTTGACAGTTGAGAGGCGGGACCAAAGAGCCAAAGCTCAACCCCCGCAAGCACAAATTGGTGAGTACACGCACGCACGCCTCATATACCTCATTTACATCTACACTATATATATATATATATATATATATATATATAGTGTAGACCTATATATATATTAATGGTCCTATTTATAACACGCACCGCTCCCACTCCTGTGCTTATCCACCCACTCACTGTGTAATATGGTGCAAAATCGCCCGAAACGCTTCGTGTATTATTGTCTTTAGGCACAGCATGTACTATAACTTTATCTAGAAATCCAACATTCTGTTTACAACTCATTTTGAATGTACCTGAATAAACATGTATGTATTATTATTTATTATAAGCAGGGATGATACAGCGGTGACTGTAGCAGTAGCAATAGATGGAGACTCACCTGTAGAACCAGGTGCAGTTTCTAGGGTGTGGGAACACGCCCTCGGCGCGACACGTCAGCTTCGGGATGACTATTTGGTCGGGATAACGCTGGTCTGAAAGGGGGGAAAAGTCGGTGCACGTTAGTTCATTCTCAGTAAAGTGTGAGCCAGCATAGTGAAGCAGAGATGGCTTACCAACACCACAGTCGAGTACAAGTTTATATATAAACTTGTTTTCTGAGATATCTCAGAAAACACTTGACTTCTGAAGGATTCGAACCAGGTCCGTCAGGGCTTCCATGCCCCGTTTGTATCGTGTATTGGCTGAGCGGTTATAGTATTGGAGGATTTGAACCAGGCTGACCTGGTTCAAATCCTCAATGAATCAAGAGTTTTCTGATATATATACAATGTAAACAATAGGCTTAAGGGAGATACTGAGAAGAGAGGGGGAAACTGAGAGAGGGGAAAAAGAGGCAGAATGGTATTTAAAGACAGAGTAGAAAAGGAAAGGGAGGGTGAGAATACACAGGGCCGAGGACTGGCCTACCACCTACCATTGGGTCCTATAGGGCACGCCTGGACCAGTGTCAACACGCTGAGCACCGCTGTCAACACCGTCAGCGCCTTTGGAGATGACGCCATCTTGCCTTCCCGGTACCTGTGGAGGTGTTGTAGTATCTCGTTAAATTGGAGGAAGGTTAAAATAATGGGCGGAAGGAGGTGGAGATGTGTGGGTGTGAGGGGTTGGTAAGGGTGGATGTATATTGGATGAGGGGTTTGTGAGTGTGTGGGTGAATGGGGGGGGGGGATGGACAATGGCTCTTGGGTCCCGCCTCTCAACCCTTAACCATCCGGTGGATAGATTCCACTTCATATCAACATTGAAAACTTTGTCCAATGTCTCTGTGGCTCATTTTGGTACTTAGTTTCCATCTATCATTCCACCTTGTTCGTGTACCATCCCTGATAAATAGTCTGTCCTTGTCTGCCCTGTCTATTCCCTCGAGTATCTTGTATGTCGTTATCATATGTCCACCTGTCTCTTCCAGTTAACTATAGTCTTTCCCTGCAACTCTTACCTCTCTCAGCTC